GGTGGTTCGCCCATAAATCCTGTCTTTTTCCAGAGTCCAAATACTGCAATACCCAAATGTAAGAGATGTAATCAAGCAAAAAAAAAAAAACGGCAAGAACTAGCGGAAGAGGTGGTAGAACCAGAAAGGAAGAGGAATAATTAACAACAGCAACAACAACATACAACTACGGACATACACAAACACACACACACACACACACAAACAACCAAACACACACAGACATACACACTTAAGCACTTATATACGCGATTTAATAAAAAGTCATAATTGACAATGGACTCGAGACTCCGGGTCGTTCAAATCACGTATATTCGATATGCCTATTTCCATATATATATATAATATATATATATATGAAACTAACTTGAATTATTTAAAGAGCATACATATGCAATCTAGAGGATATGTCTATTTGCTTGTGTCTGCTCGAAAAATAGAGATATATATATATGCGTACATAAGAATCGTACGATTCAATCGATTCGATGTTAACAGCACTGCTATGTTAACAGCTACAGCGCTGTTAGTTGACAGTGTAAGAGGCAACGGCAAGATCGTTGCTAATGGACAGAGCAAGCAACTTTCAAAATAATATTAACAACAACAACAACAAGAACAACGCGGACTCAAATGGCAACAATTGACGAATGAAACATACGACAGAATATGAATAGAAAACAAATATTTGCAGAAGCACAAGTTACTCCCTTTTTACATACTATTTTCGTATTTATGCATATATATATACATTGAAATATATGTGTATCTATATATAAACATATAAACACTCACATATACACAACACACACAAAACTTACGGACTTGCATGTCCATTTATATTTATTATTATTTCTCTTATAACAAACGCACACATAGACAGACTCACAGACACACAGACTGTTTGTTATGCAAATGGCGGCAGCTGCAACAACAAATACTACAACACAATCATCAAAGACAACAAACAACATTGTAAAAAACAACCACAATAATCTAGGTAAGTAAAGTCAACAGTTGAGCTTCAGTTATTGTTTAATTTTTCCCCTCTCTCTCTCTCTTCCACAATGACAACGTCATGAATCAGCCGCCTATTTGGTTAAACAACAACAACAACAAACATTAAAGCAACGCTCGATACAACAGAAAAACAACATCATCATCAATCATCATCTACAACAACAACAATTAACTAACTAAGTAACTAATCTAGTAAACTAGTTAATAATCATTCTAATGCGATCGCAACAAATTGCATGTTTTTCGAATGTTCCAAAGTTGAGTGATTATAAAAAACCAATATTTTTTTGTTTGTTCTAAATTAGTTATTCTTTTGTTAACACACACACACACACACACACACACACATACACATAGGCATATGTCCTGCATATACTTAAATGATTTGTTCACCTTTCCATACCGTTTGTTATGCATAATTGTGAGATCCAAACTTCTAAGATGCTATAAACACATAGAGCGTCTATAGCAATCTGACCAACAAGATAAACCATAGTAATTTGTTTGAAAAACGAACGAAAATCAAAGTAAACAATAATAACAGTAACGAAGAGTTAAAAGAAAATCATGCACACAGAAAACACACACAAAAATTGTATGAACAAAAAAAAAACGATGAAAGAAAACAACAAATTGAGAAAAGAAAATTTTGAAAACCTTTTCCTTAACTTGGTTGGTATGAAATTAAAGGTTTGCTTATATAATATATATATACATATATAAAAACGAGAATGATAAAAGAAAACAAACGAAAATATTTCCATAATAACAAACTAAGCTAATAATACTCAACAAAGCTGAAAAAGAAAAAAAAAACACTCGCACACATATATACACACACACACACTAAGAAAAACTATCTCTCTTACACATACACACACGCGTACATTCAAAGCGAACTGCAGCTTAAACGTTTTTTTCGAAAAAACAAAAAGCGAACTGAAAAATTGAAAAGAAATTTTTAGAAATTCGTAAAAAGTAAATAAAATATAGAAAGAAAAACAGCGCTGCTTTGATAGAAGTATGTAAAACGAATTGAAACAAACAATGAAATATGTATTGGAAAGAAAACCAAAACACTTTGTTCAAGTAATATTTACATATATATATATACATACATATATGTATACTTATATATATTATATTGTTTTTGTTTTATACGATTATATTTCTACATATATATGATCATGCATATAATTGTGCTTGGTATGCGTATCTTGAAGTTAAATAATATCAAAAAGGCGAAAACGCGATTTGAATTGATTTCTGTTAATTTAATTTAATTTTTATTTATTAACGTTTTTTTTTTTTTGTTTTTGTTTTTGTTAAATCTAAATGAATAATATTTACACTGAACTTTTTATTCTGTGTGTAAAACTACTATATAGATATACAAAATCGCCAAAATCAAAAGTTCTATTCAAAATACTGGAAGAAAATGGAAAATCATTTAAAATCTAAGAGGAAATTTTTCAACAGAATTAAGAAAAAGAAAATACGCCACATTCATCCATATAAAAGAAAAAGAAAATGTAAACGAGCAAAAATAACGTGGAACAAGTTAATTCAAATACAAAACACCATCAAAAGCCATTCACAAAAGCAACAACAAATGATGATGATAATAGTAATAATAATGATAATATTGCAGAACAGGAATGCATAATTACATATATATATATACATATATAAAATTATTTGCTTTATTATACTCATTCACGGAAGTAAATCACGTATATTGTCCGTCCGTCCGTCCGTTAGTTGAATGACTAGCTGATGTCATCCTCTATTTCAATTGGTGAATGAGTATTCTGTAGTCGGTAACACCCGACTGCACCAGTCTTTTTTTATGTTTTTCTTGGCTTAAAAATTTGGTCGTTTCATTAAATCGACTTGGTTTTGTTTTTGGCTTTGGTAGATCGGACAGACATGAAATACTGTAGTCCATATTGTGAGCCCAGTTAATTAGTTAGCTAACTTGGTCCAAATTGTTGCCCAGTTGTTGTTGCTTTGCCTTCTGCCAGTAACGCAAAAAGCGAAATAAAGAGTAAAGGAAGAAAATATTTACAATATTTTAGTATTTAAAATAATGAAAGAATTTTCTAAGTTTATCCTTTGAAAGTGGAAAATCAGTACAAAGAAAATAGTGAACAAATAGTGAAGAAGAAGAGACAGGACACAAGTGAATAGAAATACATACATACATACATACACACACACACACAGTACACACCCACACAGACAGACAGACAGAGTAGCGTATGTTGTAACTGCAAAATTTCTTTATATATACATATACAAGAATATATATACACATATATATGTATATATATATATTTTGATTTATATATATATATATACATTGTCTTTAGCAACTTAATCAGATAGGGACAACAAATTAAAGAAAGTATATATCACACCACATGGATCTCCTTGTAAACAAAAATTACATTTAAAAGAAGCGAAAATACATACGAAAAATATTTATATATTTATATATATATATATATATGTGTAAACACAATTTATATATATGTATATATACATATATATAGATATTATAATCGAATACCATAAGTGGAAGACATTGTTTATTATAATTATTATTATTTTGTTTTTTGTTTTTTTTTTTTTTTAATATCCTTTTTGTTAATCTCTCATACGCTTAAAAAAAATAAAAAAAAAGAATTTTTTTTGTCTTAGAAGCTGAAAACTAAATACTATATTATTTTTTATATGTATATGTATACACAATGTTACTAAGTGAAAACGAAAACAAAAGAAAGATACGAAAAAAAAATCGCCCAGGTATTGCAGGTGTGCAGCCAGGTGGGTAGCCAGGACCTACGTTCAGATTGGCAGCCCGCTACCCACGGCCCACTGTCTAGGCATTTTTGTTGTTTTTGTTTTTGTTTTGATTTTTTTTTTAAATGCAACCTAATTGTGATGATGTGATAGACTTATAAAAAAAAATACTAATTAATAACCAATTTAAAAACGATGAAAACACACAAAAAAAAAAGAAGAAGAAGAAAAGAAATGAAGTAACAGAGCGACAGAAGCCCAACAATGGCTGAATTTATATGTTATGTATTTGTATTATTGTCATGTATATGTATATATATATACATATATACTTATATGTATGTATGTATTTATATATAGACAATGTCTGATGATGGCTAAGCCAACAATGCCAATACTTTATGGCTATTAATATGTATTATGGATGACATGAGGCAAACATTCTTTTTTTTTTTAAGAAATAAAACCTTCAAAGTGCGATATTTGTATTGTATTACCTATAAGTTGTTGTGAACACACACTGTATACACACTCACACGTACACACACACGCATACCCATACACAGAGCTAAACGAAACAAAGAAAACCAACAAAAAAAAAAGAGAAAAAGTTGAAACTGATAAAAATTTAAGCGTAACAAACTGAAAAGATGCAACGAAGAAAATAACAACAAAAAAATTGAAAAACTACAAAAAAAACAAATGGAAAATTTGACTGCAACTTGTAAAGTTCACCTTTACACTCAGTATCTCTCTATCTCTTTCTCTCTTACACACACACACGTATATAATTATTCTCTGTTTCTGAAACTATTTCAATTACTGTGTCTGTCTCGGTCTCTCTCCCTCCCTCTCTCTCTTATCTATATATATAGTTATATATATATGTGTATATATTTTTACAAATATATATGTATGTACATATACAAAGATGATATATAGAACATATATTTTTGAAAATACGAAAAATGCAATTTTTTGAAGAATACAAAAAAGCAAACAAGAAAATTTGTGCAGCTTAACGTCACGTAATTACAACGTAACGTAACACAACGTATCGCAAACGTTTCGTTTTCGTGTTTTTTTTTTTAATAAGTCAAAAAAAAGCAAAGCAAAACAAAAAAAAAAAAGAGAAAAAATACAAAAAACGCAACAAGCAGCCAAATAGAATGAAACAAACAAACAAAAATATATGCCGTTATTATATAAATATGTATTTTGATAACTAAAATAGTTTTTTGTGTGTTTACTTTGCTTCAAGCGTCGTGTATATCTTATGTTAAAATCATCGTTTTGTTTCTCTCTCATACATATAGGTATGTATAGAGACCCTATATATCTACATGCAATACAATACATACTACATACATACATACTACATACATTTATCAAAAGCCAGCCGCTGGTTATGAAGTAAGTGGAAAATGCATTTAAACAAAGCTAAATACAACAAAAAAACAATTCGACAACGCACAATTGCCAAAATGCACACACACAAACACACACACACACATGTACACTTAGAAACAGATCAACACACACACACACACAGAAACAAACTACTGTTAAGGGCCAAAGTTAGATGCAGAAAAAAAGAAAACAATTTTACACATAAATTCAGCAACAATTTGAAAATAAATAAAAAATAAAAACTAAATCAGCATTGTAAGTGATAAGAGAAAAAAAAATTTTGAAACTTTGAAATTTTGGCCTCATCATAGCTAAAATGGTATGAACTGAAGTATGAAAAGGGATAATGAAAACAAATGAAAAAATGTATAAAAAAAAAAAGAAAAATAAAAAAAAAATTGCAAGAATGAATGAAGTTGAGAACGCGACATGAAAGAGAAGAGAAAACCCATTGTGATACAGTTACAAAATAATAACAAAACGAGGAATGTGTAGAAATACGTAGATACATACGTTAAATGTTAACATTGCTCGTAACACAATATAACATAAGTACATACATACATATGTATGCATGTGTGAACACAGACACACACATATACATATATATATATATATATATTTGTATCGGCAATGACATTTGACGATGACACTTGACGACGATAATCGATATACAACAAGAGTTAATTATTATTGTCATGATTGTATTTCGCCAACAACAAAAAGTGAACTTTCAACAATGAGAAACTTTGAAATATGAACTAACTAAATATTATAATATTCAAAAGCAAGCCAACAATTTATACAAACTAGTTTAAAAAGAAATAAAAAAAAGAGAACTCGCACACACACACACATACACACACACACAACACTTCTAATCACATTTGGTTCATTTGAATGGAGATTAACACATGAGAAATTTTTCATAAATAATTTTCTTTAATTTTTTTTTTTTTTTTAAATACATACAACTAAATATTTGTTGTGTAAGCAAAGAAAAGAAAACATGTAAAAACAAAATACCAAAACCAAATGAAAGGAAGCAAAACAAATACAATTTGTGTAAGCAAATGCAGATTCTTAGCCATTTCGAACGAGCGTGCATTTAGACATACATATACAGATGCATACATACATGCAAACATATACATACATGCATACATCGTACATACATGCATTATGCATGATTTTAAGATTTAAAAAAAAAAAGAGAAAAAAGTAAACAAACGAGAAATCAATGTACGCAGTGGACAAAACAAAGTTAAATAAAAAATAAAAGAAATAAAAAAAAAATTGAAAACATTACAAAAAATAACAATTTACTTATTTAATTGAAATGTTTAGAGCTTAAGTAAACCCAACAAACAATGCACACACATTCAAAAATTATAATATTAATAATAATTATATATATATTCATATACTTAAATGTACATGAATTTATATATATATATATTCAATTATATATACATATATGCATACATACATACATATATACAACTTATGAATTCAACACTTAATGCATATATAAGTGCATGTGTTTAATTAATTGATGTAATTCGAAGTGCGGAATTCGAAGTTCGAATTCGCGTTCGACACATGCAGAAAAAACAAAAAAAAAAAGGAACAGAAAACAAAATAAATTAAAATAAAATATATTGTAACCAATTTATCTTATATATATTAAGCAACACACACACATGCACTACCACTTCCTTGATAAGGCCATGCCCTACCCGTGTACCCCTGCCCAAGCCTCCTACCTTAAATATATACAATACCCGCCCATATCCCTTAGCCCTAATTATAGAGATGGTCTGAACAACATATTCGTAAAATTCTAAACAACAATTTAAGGGCTAACCTTATTACATGAACGCATAAAGCTCATAACTATCTATGTACGAGGTATGTGTTCACAAAGCGAATGATATCTATGTAATAAAACAAACACTTTTAAACAAATTCCATAAAAATTGTCTTCATTTTTCAATTGGGTAATTTGTGGAAATTATCGTGGATTGAGGGTTAAGTATATTCAAAAATTTTATGTAAGTAGCTTCCAAGAGTTGCTCGGATTTTGGTATTGCTCTTATATATAGCCTGATAACTGGAAATGTTTTTGTAAAAAGCAATGTAACAGCCAGAAGGAAGTGTTTGAGAACCTATAAAGTATATTCGTGATCTGGCCTTCCAAGTAATCCCCATCAGACTTGTTTATAGCTTGGCTTCAAATGCTTAGCTATCTTCAGATTCTCCTCTGCTTATCTCCACGTTTCATATATAGCGTCTTTTATGAGTAGATTTGAAATTCAATATTATATAATATAATATCAATCAAATGGAATAGAGTTAGGCAATGTAAATTCAATACAAGTCCATAACACTTAAGACCATATGTAGTATGACTCGACTCTATAGAAACCTAGTGAATGAACTTAGGCTTCAATCTGAGTTAACCACTATTGTAAAGGCTTAACAGTAATTGTATTTGTAATCGTTTGCCTGTTATCGATCTATTGGGAAGCTGAATTTGAACAATAGCAAGATCGATCTACAATGCCCTAATTCTTAGGCATCTATGGAAAGCCGAGATTTTTACCAGCATTTCAATCGCACCCATTAGTTCCCGTTAAGTTCAAAAGGCATTTTCGGCATTTCATTTTTGCAATTTTTATTTAAAATACCATCATCAGCATCTCAGCATCTGGTTTTACTGTTCGCACTTTATAATTTATACATAAATTTAACTGTTGTTGTTGTTTTGTTTTGTTTTGTTTTTTGTCTCACGTTTAAACATAATTCACGCTCGCTTATCGCTTACCGGGTCTAATAATTATCTCTGCTTTAGTTATACATTCTATATATGTACTTAATATATACATATATATTTTTACACATATATATTCGTTTGCAATTTTTATATTCTTAATTTTGTTTGTGTTTGATACATAATACTTGCATTTGATTTGAATATGTTTGGGTGCTAAAGTCCCGCAACTTTTTTTATATTTTAAATTATTTTCTATAATTTTTTTTTGTCGTATTTTTTTCATGATTTTTTTTTTAGTAGATCTTAACGCAGCCAAAACAAAATTGTTTTGTTTTGTTTTTCTTTGCTTTCGCTTTGTTTTTTGTTTTTTAATAAAAATAGATACAGTTCTTGAATAGCAAAAGCCGCAGCACAACTTTTAATAATTTTGTTTTTTTCTGCATATTTTACAATTGATTGTTAAAAAAAATATATATATAGATATATATTTGCTTGCTATGGGCTTCCTATTATTCATAAGTTTTCTTGGTTTTGTTTTGCTTCGTTTTCTTTGACTATTGTAACAACATTCGGTTTATTTACAACCACAATTAATTTAATTTAATTGCAGCTGATTTTTTTTATATTTTTAATGTGTAAAATAAGCGTTATTCGCTTTTGTTTATTGTTTTTCTTATCTGTTTGCTATTGATTTGCTTTGCTTTTTCTTTCTTCTTTTAAATATATTTTTAATGCTGTGCACTTGCTCTGGCTTACTTTTATTTATTTATGCTCAATGTATACGAGGTATTTGTTTTTTTTTTTTTTCTTTTTTTGCAAAATAATATATCGCTTTAGTTTGCTCATTTCGAAATATATATATATATGTATATACATATATTTACGATTTTTCAGAGATCATCACGAAATTCGATATCGAATCCGAAACTGCAGTTAAATTTTGTTAATCAAAAGTCATGAACTTTTCAAAATATGCTAAAAATAATCAATTCATCATATGGCCAAAAAAAATAACATAGTCTTGAAATTGCATTTGATTTGTAATTAAAATAAGTGTATATAAAAAATTTGATAATAATAATCATAATAATTAAATACATGTAAAATTACGAATATGGCAAACATATAAGAGAGACAGTGCTTGAGTTGTGTAAATTTCTTAAAATGATATAATGCTGCCCAAAAAAGGAATATATATATATATATAGCATATATATACAGTTGCGTTTATTTAAATATTAGTGTGAGTGAGCAGTATATGCAAAAAAAAAATATATATATATTTTTTTTTATTAGAATATCAACAACTAAATGAATATCATAATCGTTTCAAATTTAGTTTTAAAGTATATTTTTTTTTTTAACTTTTTAGTGTTCACACTACTATTTTTATGAACGCAGCGATATATCAATATACATATATAAATCATATATATATAAACGTCTTTTGCGTGTGTGTGTAAAAAAAAAAAAAAAAGAAAAAAAAAGAGTAGTTATACAAGTCTTAAGTTTTCGGGTAATTAAAGCAACTTAAATCGATGTAGAAAAAAGTCTTTTGCAAGTCTTTACACAGCTTAAATGCACAACGCGAAACAATAACGTTGATCATCGTTTCAGTTCAGCTACGAATAATTATAATCATAATAATAATAATGACAATATAATCAGAATTATAATTCGAGTCTTTATGCGAAACTTATGAATTACAAAGCAAATGACGAAACATACTAAATCTGGCATCATGAAATGGCATATTGAGTATATATATACATATATATATATACTATACATTAATGTTCTTGTTTCGCTTATAAAGTATATCAAATGTTTACTTAATGTTGGGTTTGTGTTGCTTCTTGTTGTCCCTCTCTCTCTCTCTCTCTCTCTCTCTCTCTCAGCTAAATTGCTGTCTTAAGCGCTAGTGATTGTTGTTGTTGTTGTTGTTATTAAATGAATTTGTGTGTGTGTGTGTTGTTGTTGTTCTTGTTGACTTTATACATTTCTCTTTTACATTTATGACTATTGAAAACAAATATTTGTATAGATAAATAAAAAAATCTCCATTCTATTTGTGCCCAGTTTATGTGTAATGTTATATATATATACGTATATATATGCAGGCAACTGGCTTGATTTTTTCTATAATTATTATATTTATTAATTATTATTGTACTGTCTGTTAACTGCACAAAATGTAATGTGTTTGTTGTTGTTGTTGTTGGTTGTTTGAGTTGGATTGGACTGGGGGGGTTAGTTGTTGTGGTTGTTGTTGTTGTTGATTTGTGTGTAGTTTATCGCCGGCATGAAAGAAAACAATGTCATGTCACTATATTACAATTTAAAAACTAATCCTAAGTCTTATAAGCGATACATACAATTAGGGGCGGGTTAGAGGTGTTTTTGCCAAAGATACAAAACATACGTTAGATCTCGATGCGTATGTCTTGTATGGTACAAATAGAGACATGCCTATATATAAATATATATATAGAAAGAGAGAGAGATATATACTATACACTATATATATATACTATATATCTCTGCTGCATCTCAACTGTTGCATGTCTGCATTTCTTCTTTACTTTCTACTTTCTTCCTCGAGGAACAGTTGTGTTTAAAGGTTGAGAATTGCTTTTAAAGCGACTACGCATGTGTGTGTGTGTGAGCGTGTATGTGTTTGTGTGTGTGTGTGTGTGCAGCTTTATGCAGGTGTCCTATATATGTCATCTCAGCCAATAGCCAATAGCCGCAATAGCTTTCGATTGTCCCACAGAGCACGGCTCACTCTCACACGCCTCTCACGCCTCACATATAGATTGAGTGCAAGCGAAGCCAACCTCATGGTTAGATTATATGCGCCTGCTGTTGCTGTTCGCTCAGCTTGAAGGCCGCCGCATCGCTGAGCAGATGAAAGGGCACTCCGGCCGCCGTAGCCACCTCCAGTCGCGGTGCTGTTGGCGATGACGTTGCCGCTGCTGCTGCTGCAGCGGCCATTGCTGCCGCCGTCACTGTTGCGGTTGTTGTGCTTGTCGCTGTTGTTGGACTGCCGGCTCCGGCTCCGGCTCCGGCTCCAGCGCCGCCAGCACTTCCGCCGCTGGCATTAGTCAGACGCTTCAATTGTATGGCATCCAGGGGCAAATGATGGGGCACATGATGCGCACCGGCTGTCGACAGGCTGCCCAATGTGGTGGCCGCCGCCATGGTGGCCGCTGCTGCTGCTGCCGCCGCTGCTGCTGCAGCCGTTGAGTTGCCCGAACCGGTGGTCGTTGTGATGGTGCTGCCGGCATGCGAGGCGCCGCGTCCACGTTTGCGCTTCGGCAATATGCCCTTGCGGGCCATATAGAAGCGTATGGTGGAGACGGGTATGTTGAACATGTTGCTCACTGTCTGAAAGGTTTCGCCCTTGGACACACACTTGGCGGCCTGGGCCAGGGACGCCTCCGAGCGTCTCACACGCTTATACGATGTATAGCCATCGATGGAACTGTGCATCAGCGAGGAGCCGGACGTATTTGCCGACGTATCCAGATCGGCGTCCATGCTCAGCGACAGTCCAGCCACATTGCTGGCCAGGCCGCTGGTGCTGCCCACATTGCCAACAAAGCCGCTGCTATCGTTGTCCTCATCATGCGCCGCCACATAGTTGTGATCGTCCTCGATGGTCGAGTCCAGATGATGTTGCAATTGTAAATGCTGCTGTTGTTGTTGCTGCTGTTGCTGCTGCTGCTGTTGTTGCTGCTGTTGTTGTTGCTGCTGCTGCAGCAGATGTGCATTCAGCTTGTTGTTCGCAAAGTCTTCATAGTTCTCGCTGTAGACATTCCAATTGTTGCTCGCATCATCCGCTGAATCATCTTCGGTTGCTGCATTCGAATTGTTTGATGCGGCCGCTGATGAGCCCGCGTTTAATTGTTGTTGCTGCTGTTGCTGTTGCTGCTGTTGCAAGAGCTGCAATTGCAACGTATTGTTGCCATTCGTCTGCTGCCGCTGACGATGTTCCTTTTGCTGCAGCTGTTGCTGCTGTTGCAGTAGCAATTGTTGTTGCTGTTGCTGTTGCTGCTGTTGCTGTTGCTGCTTGGCAGACAGCGCCGTTGTGCTTGTTGTTGTTGTCGATGTTGTCGAATTGGTGGCCGTATCATCCGTCTCAGTGCTGTCCATATGTTGTTGCTGCTGCTGTTGCTGCTGCTGCTGCTGCTGCTGCTGTTGTTGCTGCTGCTGTTGCTCCTGCTTGACTGCGGTTGCCGAGTCTTGTGCCGCCATATCCAGACGCATCTGTTGCAGCTGCTTGTAGTTGATGGCCGCCTCGGAGCCGTAGAGGCCCCGTATACGCAACTGTTCGGCACAGCGCAACAGTTGGCCCAAGCCCGCCTGCGTCACATTCACCTCGCCCTTGTACATGAAATCGACCAGGGCCTGAATCTCCCACAGCTTGATTTCGCTGGGCAATATGATGACCGGATGCTTGCACGGATTCTCGGCCAATATGGCCTCAAAGTAGGTGGAGCAAGCGGCCAACACCAGCCGATGGCAATGCACCTGATGGCCCTCGCAGGCCAGTGTCACGTCCACGAATCTCTGGCCGGCCAATAGCTGCGGAAAGGCGGCTCCAATGCTGCCCAAATGGCTGTTCCAACGCACACAAAACTCTTGTGTGGCGGCGGACATCGTGTTGTTGTTGCTGCTGCAGTTGCTGTTGTTGTTGTTGTTGTTGTTTTTGCTACTATTGTCTTCGTTGTGGGTGTTGCCTCCAACACTCGCTCAATTCACAATCTCCGACCAACTCCAGCGCCAATGGAAGCTCTAAGGGAAGCTCAATTCGTGCTCGATGATCTACGAGATTACAAATATATTAAAATGAGATTATGAGATTATTTGAAAATATAAACAAATTGCAATTAGCCTATAATTAATTAGTATTAAATATTCAATGATAGAAATGAATGAAATGTTTAATCAACTCCTTTAATACCTGTAAATGCATTCAGATCATTCATTTGCATCACTCAAAGTATTCAAACGAATGAATACCTATTGGATATTCATCCAAATGAGCAAATTCAAACTTAATTCATTCCACATTCACTTGCATTCATTATATTAAATATACATAAATTTAACACATAATTGAATGACGTTCAAAGTATTCACTTTCATTTATAGCGAATATTCAAAGTATTCACTTTCTTTTATATTGAATATATGTTCATAAATATTTTTTATACATCTAATAACTGAATGGAATTTCTTGCATTTATATCAAAGTACTATAAAAATAATATAAAATATTAACTTAGTAATTTTCTATGTATTTAATGTAAACTTGGTTTGGATATTAAAAACACGCATTCATTTTATTAAACAAATTCAATTGCCAATTCGATAACAATTACATATGTATAATTTCTGATACATGTATAATAATTTTGTATATTCATTTAACTGTTCCATTTAAATTTCAAATGCATTCACTGAATTCACACCGGAGCAAGGACTAATTTTTAAAAGTTTCTTGAGGTTTATAATAGTATTACCCAAAATGCTGTTGTTGTTATGTTTCCTTTCGCTTAGGCCCCACATGCGAGCGCCAAATGAAAATAAATCTAAATTCAACAAAAACAAAACAAAAATTTATTAAAAATAAAGAGCGTTTCGGTCCGCTAAGCAAAGCAACTAAGGAAAAATTGTAAGAACAAAAAATAACAATAATAATTACAATCAAAAGAAGTTAATTTGAAATTGATTTTTAGGTCTTTGTTTTGTTTTTGGTCTTTTTGTTTTATATTCTCTTTAGCACTGTCAGCACACAGTTTAATAATTAATAATTAATATCGACGTTAAGTTGGAATTTCGCTAGTTTCGATTGTTAAATGTGAATTCCTCGCCCTTTTTGCAATGTGACACAGCGCGTTGCGCAAAAATTTTATTTTGTACAGACTCCTGTGTCTGTGCTTAATGTAGTTTGTGCTTCTTCCTTTTTGGTATCTTCAGTTTTTGCGCTAGTGTGTGTGTGCTGCGTCCATGAGTGTGTATGCCTCTGTGTGTGTGTGTGTGCGTGTCTGCTGGTTCTTGTCTTGGTCTTTTCTGTTCCTTTTTTTTTTTGCATTAAACAAACGCCAAAAGACAAAGAATTATACTGAAAAAGTAAAGTAATAAAAATCAAGCATAACAACAACCGACGACGCGACGACGACGATGAAGGCAACGACAACGATGGAGACGATGGAGCGAGCCAGGAAAGCACACAGGCAGCTGCTTGCTGCTTGCCTTTGCGGTTAAAGAAGAGGGAGAGGCGCAAAAATATGCTGCTTCTGCTACTGCTGCTGCTGCTGTTGCTGCTGCTGCTGCAGAGCAGAGCAATTTTGAGCACTTTACTTTAGCATTTTCGAATTATACAAAGGCAGAAAGGAAGCAGCGAGCAAAGCAGGAACAACAAAAAACAAGGGAGCATGGAACACGCACACAAATGCAAAAACACACAGAATGAGAGAAATTGAAAGAGCGAGTCGGCGCAGTGAGCATGAAATTGAGCGAAGGAAGTTGACTAAGGCAGCCAGCACAGTGGTGTGAGCTAGCATTAAAATGTAAACAATTTCAAAATGTTGACAGCTTTCGTTATTGAGTTATGCTTAAAATATTTATACAAATTAATATGTCTGAATTCGTGTTATATTAACAGAATCTAATATCATTTAACATTAATACTTTTGACATTTTTCCTTTTAGACACATGGATTGTAATACTTTTAAAAGTGCTTATATTTACAAATGTACATTTGAATTCTTAGAGAAGTTCTAGTTCGTTACTTCCATAAAATTGATTTGAGAACATGTGTGCCAATGCTATTGTACCTGTTTGGCTCTCATCCTACCTATACACACATGTATATTTGCCGGATAGTGTTATTAAAAAAAATGACTATAAAAAGGGATGCATATATACACACATATATGTATGTATTGATGTACGTATGTATGTAGGTATGTTAAATAAAAAGCAAAAGTAGCAATCGTCTGACCAAACGCTTTGTTATTGAACAAGTATGTATGTATGAAGATGGGAGAGCTATTAAACACAATTAAAAATGGAGCAACAGTCATGTAAGTAGTTAATGTATTATAGCATATACATACATATCAATTTACCAGAATTTTTTTTAAATGTAAATTCAAAATGCAAACTGTGAATTGGCCAAGTGCAAAAATATTGCTCAGACAAGAAAAAAAAACAAAGACCGAAAACAAACTCCTTTTTCTTTGAGAGAGCGAGATGTCAGAGAGCACGAACCCTTAGTCCCTGAATGTTTGCTCTCTGGTTCAGAAGACCAAAGCAAAATTGGCAAGAGCAACTACAACAAAAACAAACAGCATATTTTTGAGAAAAAATGAAACAATAAAAACTTAAATACGCACATTAAAATATGTATGTACATACATAAATGGATATCTACATATGTATGAGTGTGCTGTGTGTATGTAAGCTACTCCAGAGAAGACAGCAGAGGGAGACTGTAACACAAAAATAGCATTTAAGGCAAGAGCAACAACAAAGCGCAAAAGTTGACAGAAAAAATAAGAACAGCAAAAACGGGAACGAATTTGTAATTGTTGTAGCACATTCTAGTAATTAGGGGTGGAAAACTTTTACATATTTATCACATACATACATACGTTCATATTTAAATAATTCAATTCGCGCGCCTGCTAGCGTTTACATGTTTATATTTGCTTTTACAGCGTTTTAACGGCGATAACAATCCAAACTCGATTAATAAAAATTCAAAGCCTAGTTCGTATAAACCAAAACATCTACTACTGCGTGTGTGGCAGTAGAAAAGAATAAATAAATAACTAACCTCTCACTGTAGGAGACGAATATGCAAAAATAACTTTGCTAAAAACTGAAGATGCCACATGTTATCGATATATAAACACCAGATCGCAGCCATAGCAGTCAGCTTATAACTGTTCTTATCAGACGTTAATTTTAAAATGTATGGAATCAAATAGAAACTCTAAATTTGAAGGTCTATATAACAAGTTTGGACGTACCATTTGAGCGTTATGTGTATATATTGGATAAATATTTATATTCAGTGTTAGGTTTCGTAATATAATACTATTGTTTGGCTAACAAATTTATTGAGTAAATTCTAGTAAAGCCACAAAAATACATGGTATGTGTGTACATACATACATATATACAGACACATGCTTCATGCACTTGCAGGAATATCACTAATAGTTGCTTCGTTTTGCTGTTTTGCCGCTCGAAAGACAGCACACACACATACATACGTCCCAATCAGAAGCGTGAATGCAAAAACTCAGCAGGAGAGCAAAATGCAGGCAAATACAAAAATGAGAGCCAGCGTGTCTTTGCTATCTCTCTTGCACACAGGAGCGCAAGCATGCCGAAATAACAAACAAAAGCAGCAACAACAAAGGCACATCAGCTAAAGGAAGTACAAATACATATAAAATACCTCTCTTGCTCTCTCCCTTTCTCTGAGGCTTTGCATATCCGTGTGTGTGTGTGCAAAATAAATCACAAGAGTTGCTGCTGCAGCACAAAAAATAAAAGAAAAAAATTAAATAAATAAAAAGCCGGGCCGAGCGTCGCGTCAGGCGCAAATTATGCATATTTAGCTGCTTGAAATGAAGTTGGCGATTCATGTGGAGACAAAGGCATCATCAATTAAATAACAATATAAACAAAAATTCAACACGCTCAGGTCTTTCTATATGCATATTGCATACATATACATATTTCTATTATATGCATATTTATATTCGAAGAATGTTTGTTTCTCTTTGGTGCGATTTATGTATTTATTTGTGGCACCGATATCGCAGACTGTTTATATTTAGTTGCAAGGATGTACATACATACATATATCAACATATCCGCACACACACATATACACAGACACGCAGGCATGCATGCTTGCATGTGTATTGACAATGTTTTTACCTCGTTCTGGATGCGTTGGGCGCGTGTTGCTTGGCCCCTACCGCCAAGCGCCGCTAGCTGGCGTTATCCTTGGATTATCCTTTTTGTTTAACACAATTTTTTGCACAAATGCCACACACGGTGCACAGCACACAAGCACTGAGGGACTTGTGTATTGATTTTTCGCAATGTTAATGTTTAATAAAGCCAGCGCACATACATACAAACATACATACAAGCACACGCACACGCACATATGCACAGAGGCAGCAAACAACTTTTGAATATGTTTCATACGACGCGCAACGCGCGTGTTTTTTTTTTAAAACATCCAATGAATGCTTTGGTATATTGCTATCAGTGCTTTCTTTAACAATAACATGGATATAACAATAACTATAACTGTTCAAATGCACATCGCGTGCGCAGCCTTCAAGCGGAGTTGTTCTTTAAAATGCGATTATAAATTGAAAGTTTGAGTAAAATTTACTTTTGCGCACCGCCAACTTCATTCACTGTTCGGCTTGGAGAGTTTAGAGATGGTCGATATTTCGTGTTATTTTTAAGGAACGAGTTTTGCAGATTGCTGTGGAGTCGTTTCTGTTAATTAGTGGAGCAATACTGCTATTAATATTATTCACGATAAATAAACTAACAGTGGCTTTATTAAATTTTGTGCTGAAATAAACGTCACATCATTATGATATTACATAATCTGGCAATTGCAATTATAAAATGATTAAATATCCCTATATTTATTTATTCGATGTCTATCGCATGTAGCTGTGAAAGCAATCGATTATCACTGCAATGTATTGATATCGATATATATTTGTCGTACATCCCTAGCTTGCAGTGACCAACGTCGTCTCATTCATACTTCTTTTTCAATGTAATTTTTGCTCTTTCGTGTATTTTTTAACGAATAAGAATAATGTGTTAAATGTTAAATGTGAATCGTATCGTCGTGTGTTCGTGCAGACGTGCAATTGTTAACCTACAACAATAAACTGGTACGCTTCCGCCTCCTTCGAAAAATCAGCTAAAAAAAAACAGGGGAAAAAAACAACTTTTTGACATAGTTTGGCGTTAAACAAGAAATTCTATTTAATATAATATTACACGATAGTGTATTTGCATGAAATATTGGGCGGACAAGCGGAAAAACACTTGCAAGGAGAAAACGGCATTTCTGACCTAAGTGTTAGTGGGCGGTGTTTTTCATGCTAACAAAACGATTTTTTTGTTTATGTGGCATACGTGTTCAAAGCAATTGCGATGCTTTGTCTTGTTATATGCGCGTAACTTTTTCGCTTTAACTATTTAGTTTGCCAAACTGCATCATCAAAGTTCTTAATATTGCTGCGTGGCAAAAATCAATGCAAAAAGTGTGTTTTATACATATGTACGGAGCAAGCAATTTTTTTCCACTACTTCACACGTACTTATACAAATACGTGTACGTATGTGTGTGTATGGGCAAACATCAAGTGTGTATGTGTGTGTGAGTAAGTGTGTCGGAGCGCAACTCAACATGGCTGACAGTGTGGTGAGCTATAATAGAAGCAGTGTTGCTGCCTCACGTAGATGAGGGACTTACTGGGATTTTGTAATTGCCTTTTATTTTCTTTTTAAGCACAATCAATAATTTCGTAAAAAGGCGTATTTAATATACTGGCTTGCTGTATATGTGTATATGTGGTCACACTCATACGGCGCGCATTTTGACATTTCATTATTTGACTTTGTCATGCACCAATACTACCTCACGAAACGACAACTCGCAGCTGTGGTGTATTTCGTTGTAACACACCACAGGGACCGTTCTGTCACTGACTCGTACTTGTGTTATTATGTCTGTTGTCTGTCAGTGTTGTCGGCGGTGTCGATTCATTAATATTTTGTTGTATTTGCCGACAAACGGTCGAGCGCAAGTAATATGTGAAAATTCGAGTGAATAATACTACAAATAGTAAATAAATTTTTTGATTGATTCTTAATAATTATTAATATTTAACAAGGCAGTTTTTCGCTAAAATTCGCCAGTGCTCGGAGTATATCTCTATAAATATGTGTGTGTGTGCTTGTGTTTGTGTGGGGGGATAAACGCAACGTTACGACGATTTTTTTAAAGTGTCTTAGAGGCGGAGCCGCTGCAGCCTCATTTGCTAGTGATAACAACAAAAGCAACAAATATTTTGTAGCACAATTAATAAATATATCATTTTTTTCGTTCTTTCTTTGCGCAGTTTTTGGTGTGTCTTCACAAGCAACGCGAAACGAAATTGCTAAAAATCCAAACAGAGACGAAACAAAATAAAGAAACCAACAACAACATCAGCAACCGTAACAACGAACGACCGAAAAGAAAATAAGATCGAGCTGCAAAATAACAAAAAAATAAAAAACTTAAACAACAACAGGCAACGTCAACGTTGACGCAGACAACAGTATTCGTATTCTCTCCCGATTTTTTTTTACTAACACTTATCAAACAACAATAAAAGTGCGTGTGTTATCTCTCTCGAAAGAAAAGAAAATTAAAAAAGACCAACCATTAAACAAGACCCAAAGAACAGCATACAACAACAAGAAGTCGTAACTCCCAACCAGAGAGCCAAAATAACAGGCCGTCAAGATGACGCAACCGTTACCCATACGTTTTCAAGAGCATTTACAGGTGAGTGTTTTTTTTTTTTTTATATATTTGTTTAAGGTAAGGGTATACGATTTCCCCAAATTCCATTGAATTAGGCATATAGTCAGATTCTCTAGTCTTCAGTGTGCATGTGTGTGTCTGTGTGTGAGTGAGGAAAACCACTTGTTGAGACGCCCAAGCGGCGCTTAGCATATTCTTATAAGAATTCATTGCACCGTGGTTGCACTTTATATGAACCTGAACAAAATACATATTAAAATTAATATACTAATATTGTATTATATATGTATATGAATATGTTTTACTGAAGTACTCGATCTCAATATAATTTTTTACTAATAAAAAGTAATCAATCTGAGAGAATATTATCTAGCGGTGAATCACTGTGCAATCTATATGAAATTTGTTGGTAACAAAAAACTAGTCGAAAACGTTGCGCTATTGTTCGCTCACTGACTTTTCTGGCTTACGAAATGGTCGAATGAGTCACTCATGCAAGCCGGTAAACGCCTCTGCCAGCCGGCCGCCTTCCGACTGTTGCCTGCCCTCCGTTTGACAGCCATCAGCATTTTTCACTCTCACGCTCTCAATTGTTGTTTCTTGTCCGCTGAGTTGGGTGAATGTTGTCGATAAACTCGTTCAGAAAGGCGGCACTTACTCCAGTTGGAAGATTTACACTCTCTCTTTCTCTCCTCTCTCTGTGTTTCCGTTTCGCTCAGTTTTTATCTATGGTGTGATTGCTGTTGTTTTACTGTTATAAATGAATGCAAAATGCAAAAGAAACATTCATACAAACATAACATATGCATGGTGTTAGAAGAAGTATATGCATGCGTGTGTGTGTGTGTGTGTGTGTGTGTAGGTTTCAAATGAAAGAGCATGCGAAGCAGAGGTAGAGGTAGAGATAGCACTTGCTGCCGGTGACAAATGCCGGCTCATCTACGCACACATGCTCGCATGTGTACATATAAGAAGTTTCATTGCATTTGTGCTAGTATTTGTATATTGCTAAACCGGTTTCTCTGTAACAACGAACTTCTGGCTCTCTGTTTTTCGTTTCGGTGCAGAGGCAACGGTTGCATCGTTTCAAGTCGAATAATGTAAATTGTGGACCACTGTTATTATTATCTGATTTGGCCACAGTATGTTAAGCAAAGGGTGGAGGAGTTCAAGCAAGAGCAGCATGTTACGCTATTCCTATGCATACATATATATCTACATGCCTATGTATGTACGTGTGTATATCACTCCCACTAATCCAAAGTGTGGTGAAATAAACACCATGCACACACACACACACATATATATGCACATATAAGCCAGATTCACCACAGCTGAGCATGTTGTAACTTAGGCTTAGTTGCTCGGTGTGTTGTCGCTTTGATTGAATAAATCAAAGATCTTTTTTAAACCGTTTCTTCTCGTTGCCATGTCTCTATGCGAAAGAGAAGTAGAGCAACAGTGGGCGCAAGAGAGATGCACAAGTAATTAGAGTAGGCAATGATATTTACAGTTACTATGAGCATTCGTGCATGTATGCTTCTGATCGTACATACATATTATATATGCATGTATGTATGTGTGTATTGTCGTCAGCGGAGCGTCATTGTTAATTTCACTTGTATCCATGTCAAAATATGTACATATATACATACATATGTACATATCAGACGCCTAAGGGCGGCTCATTCTGCGTGAATATTGTTTATCTAATCTTTGGCCTGATTTAGCCTCGGGGTAAAGCGCTCATATAAAGTATAATATTCTATTTAATGGGCTGTTGATTTTATGCATATTTATATTATTGCTGAACATTTGAAGCGTAAATTCAATCTGATAAATTGCGTTAATAATTGTAGTTGAATTAAGTTCATTTTTAATCTCTGATTATCACACATTAAACTACATTTTTATGTGTGAGGTACCCTACTCCTAAATCGTGTTCCATTCCATTGGGTGTGCAAGCTTTAAGCGGGGCGTATAAACTAAATTTGATTATGGAACACGCATTAGATCGTCCTCTATGCGTGTGTGTGCACATATGTATATGTATATGTGCATGCGTGTTTGTGTGTGTGTCATATCTCGCATTAAGTGTGAAACGTCCATATGTTAATTTGTAATTGACACAAATAAGGTGAAAACGCTTTGTAGGAAAAAAAATAAAAATATATTAAATAAAGTAACCGGCAGCATATACAGGCATTTGAATATTAAAAAAACATAATATATATATTTTATTCAGCAGGCAATATATATTTTATTATATTTTTGTTTTACATTGTGACCTCTTGTATCTAGTATTTTTTTTTGTAGTTATTTGTGAGTGCATTTGGTCACATTGCAAATTGATTAACACAGAAAATATTCTATTTCAATGCCAAAAAATTAGACAAACAAATCGATACGCGTGCATTGACGTACAAACACATGCACATGCATGTACATACACACACATACATATGCCTATACATTTTGACAATTAACGCCCCCTGTTTCTTTGTTTCTCTCCCATTAGCGCTCTCTCTGTCTCTCTCTCTCTCTCTCTCTCTCTCTCTCTCTCTTTAGTTTAGTTAGCTTAGACTTTCTATTTTGCTTTCATTTGCTTTAGCTGTGTGTATTGTAACTCACTATTTATTCATATGTTATATACAATTAATATTCTTGATATATAACATTTTATAATATATATAATATAAAATATTAATGTAAAATAATTTGTAAAAAAATGAAGTTTACATATCTTAGAGTTTTATTTCATTATAATCAAATTATTTTCTTGATGAAATGTTTGTTTTTTT